TTTAGGCTTTGTAGGCCATACATTCTTCAGTACAACTACTCGACTGCCCTGCTGTGCACGAGCCCCCTACAGGCAATAAGGATAAAATTTAATTCTGTATGGAAAATTCTTGTGTGGACTATGAAACATAGTAAAATTAACAGTTTATTTCTTTTTCTTGTAGTTTATTCATCTTTATATTTCCTGTGCCTAGTATAGGATCTGGGAGACAACATGCTCAATAAATGTTGAATGAATGTGTGAATGACTGGAGAATCACTCTTTTCCTTAGATACCCTGATGTCAATCAACATATATATTTCACTCACAATGCTAAGCATTTTTAGCAAAAAAAAAAAATTAAAAACCCATAAAATAAAAAATCCAAACTCTCCTCCAATTGTTGAGCAATAAAATCATTCATATAGTAAAACAGTGATCTCTATTTGCTTCTTAATAACATCTTGCACATTACACATATACTTTTCATAACTGTACCTTGTTTGCACTGTTGTGATTACCAGATAATTTGTAAAGAAGGCAAGTACCTCATTATCATGATATGCCCATTGGCACAAAAGCATGCCAAGCAGGCACTGTTACACATGACCACCACATCTGCTTGCAATATAAAAGATGTCTCGGTGATGTTATGAACATAGAGGCAAGTCTGGGAAGGCAGCGAGAAGACTTTGGCTTGTTTTTCTGAGCAGATTATTGTATACTGATGATCTCCTATTTCTTGGGATGGAGAGGGGCAGTTCATGACCAGCTTCCTTCTCCAGGATTTCTCATTTTCATCTATGTTGTTTGGATCCCTCCAAACTTCATATGGCGGTTGCATTAATCCTCCAGTTCGGTCCATACAGGAGAATGTTAGGACAGCTCCTTTCAATGATAGGAATGTACCTATAAAAACAATTTCATATCACTGGCACATGAAATTCTTTCTAAAACGGCTGTTATTCATCTATGGGTGATGTTTTATATTATGATAATTTATATCTATAGTGTTATAATATTACAGTATTATACATAAATCAGTAGATTTGTGAGTTCACCAGTTGCAGTAACTTGGAATCATAGAAGGTAAGGTCTAAAAGGAGTTGAAGACAACAACTTGTCAAATCTTCTCATTATATTAATCAGAAAACCTCTGAAAAGCCAGAAAGATGATGTGACCTTGACTTTCCTGATTCTTAATCCAGTATTCTTTCATTATACTATATAGTCTTCCTTAAATCCTTTCTTAAAAAGCAATTTATAAATGTATAATTTATTGAATAACTTCAGCTGAAAAATAATGCCGTCTGATTCAGTTTCTTTATTTTAGAGATTCATTCACTAGAAAGTGATAATTTCTTCTTTTGAAAATGAACACTCAGAATATTTCATGAAATTTCAACATACAGAGTTCATGCTAGCAATTTTCACTGTATTAGCAAAACCCAAACTACCTTTGGTGCTTAGGCAGGCTTGTGCATCTTTATCCAGAAAAATGGTTTACTCACCTGGATTCTCCAAGGTTGAATATCCATGCCAGATTACTACCTGTAGGTGATTTTTACCAGTCCCAGAGGATAGGACACTGTAAAGCTTAGGAAGTAACTGGGATAGATTGACTTTGGACATTTCTAGACTCTCCCTAAGCAGTGCTCTAGCAGCCTTTTCTTTCCTTTGTCCTTTGACATATAGAGAGAGTTAAGGGGTTATCCCAGGCTGATATGGCTCAAGAGTGTACATGTGTCAAAGACTTGGGGAGGATGTTATAAAAATACATTGCATTTAGAGAGTACTTTGTCTATAATTTAAAGTATTTAAAATTTATAAAATTCAAAATAACATATTTAGATGATTTAACATCTCAGCTGTGTTTTTAAGTCCACTTTAAAACTAAGAAGCCTGTAAACGCCTTACAAGGAAGAGTAGCTGATGAGGACAGGAGAGCAGGGGTTTAGGTACTTTAGGCTGAGGGTCAAGGTATAAAAGAGCAGCTGTCCCAACCTCCCAAGAAGAAAAAAAAACAATGCCAAGAGCTATGACAAATGATTTAATTAGAATTCATCTAGAAATGATCCTTCTAAAACCCTCCATATTTCCATAAATATGTGACATGGAAAAAAATTTTTAAGTGTAAATATCTTTGCATCCTCAATTTAGAGATAGCCTAAAGTAGGTTAAAAAGACAAGAAATCTATATTTTGGAAGTCATTTTACTTATGCCTGATGCTTACCAACTGTCAGCATCAAAATTACTGTTTCTCAATCAGTTGCCTTGCCCAAACAGCTGCTCTGTTCCCTACTGTGTGGTTTAAAAAAAAAAGGCTTTGATTATATGCTGTTCATTAGTTTTATTCAGGGTTTAAGTTTTCTCAACAATGTATTATTAATCTTATGACTCTGTCTTTAACCTTTTCTAACTTAAAAGCTTAATCAAGTCCAAATTACAAGCTGCTACAATTTTGGATATAGATATTACAAAGTAAGCTTAAATTTAAAGGCTTGTATAATAAGATCTTAACAATTCAGTCTACAGTAAATAATTCACTACACAATTAATGAGGATTTTCCTCTTGAAAGAGGTCTCACTGGCTAGAAGTGAACCTTACTCTGGCTTTCCAAATTATCAGCCTGCCATACTACAACCTTCATTCATTCGATCAACAAATATTTATTGAGGGTTTACTGTATGTTCTAGGCTTTGTTTTAGGCACAGGGAAATAAAATAGTAAATGAAACAGATAAAACTCCTACCTTCACAGAACTTACTTTCTATGATAGAGACAGACAATATATATGATAAGTATATATCTATGAGATATTAGATAGCAATAAGTACCAAGGGAAAGGAAAAAATAAAGCAGAAAAGAGGAAAGAAACTCTTGGAAAAGGGTGTGATTAAATTTTAAATAGAATAGAAGGTGTTAGGGCTAAATGTTTGCTTTTCCCCTCCCCAAATCCATACACTCAAGCCCTAACCCACCAGTGTGGATGTATTTGGACATGCGGCCTTTAAGGAAACAATTAAGGTTAAATGAGGCCATAAGGTTGGGGCCCTGATCTGATAGAATTGATGTCCTTATAAAAAGAGACACCAGGACAGTTAGATACTTCCTTCTCCCTCCCCCTCTTTCCCTTTCCCTCCCTCTTTTCCCCTCTTTCTCTTCCCGTCTCTCCCCATCCTCCCCTACTCCATTCCTCTCCCTCCTCAACCCGCAGCAGAAAGGCCACTTGAGCACAGAGTGAGAAGACAGCTATCTGCAACTCAAGGAGAGAGCTCTCACCAAATACCAACACCAACAAGACAGCTGTCTGCAACTCAAAGAGACAGCTCTCACCAAATACCAACACTGCTGGTACATTGATTTGAGATTTCCAGTCTTCAGAAGTGTGAGAAAATAAATTTCGGTTGTTCAAGTCACACAGTTGTTAGTATTTGTTAAGGCAGCCTAAGCAAATTTATATAGAAGAAGAGGCTTCTTTGCATCATATTGTGGGAATTAAGGCTCAGGAAACCAGCATAAAATATTCTGGCTACTGTGATTATTCTGTATCTCTGATCCAGGAGCCTCATGCCTTCTATCAGCATCCATGAAACTGGCAAACTAACTTTATTTGCTTTAAGTAAAGTAAAATCTCAAACTTTTCACAGATCTTGACTTTCTAGAGCAGTTAAGGGCAGACTTACAGGAAATGAGATCAGAGAGAGAATATGGAGCTAGATCATGTAGGTTCCTGTAGGACACAATAAAAATTTAGACTTTTATTTGGTATCAGATGGGAGGATTCTGAGAATAGAGTGATATAATCTAACTTTCTTTTAACAGGGTCACTCTTCTTGCTGGACATATCCTAAAGGGAATCAAGGTTGGAAGAAGGGAGAGCAGTTAAAATGTTACTACAATAATCCAGGTGAGAAATGGATAGAGGCTTGCTCAAACCAGGTGGTAACAGTAGAAGGGGTGAGAAATGGTCAGAATCTGAATATATTATAAAGGTCAAGCCAATAGAATATGCGAATAGATTAGATTTAGAGTCTGAAAGAAGCATAGTGGTTAAGAATGATTCTAATGCTTTTGACCTGGGAAAATTGGAAGGATGAAATTTCCATTAATAGATGTGGGAAAGATTGTGGAAGAAAGGAAAGGAATATTAGGAATTCAGTTTTGGACATAAGTTTGAGATACTTCTTAAACATCCAAGTGGATGTCAAATAACTGGATATCTATGTCAGGAATTTGGGGATAGGTCCAGACTATAAATGTAAATTCATGACCCACTAGATTATAAGTGGCATTTAAAGTCATAAGGCTGGCTGGCTTCCTGTTGGGCTTGACTATAAATAGAAAACAGAAAAGGCTCACGGAGTCAGTCTTTGGGCATCCTGATGTTTTAAGTCCAGTGAAATGTGGAGGGACCAGCAAAGAGGACTGAAAAGGAACGGCATATAAAGGTAGGAAGAAAACTAGGTAAATAAAGTATTCTGGACTCTATGTGAAAAGTGAAATGTTTTAAGGTAAGGATAATGGTAAACTGCACTATGCTACTGTTATATCTGGTAAGGTGTGGCCTGAGAATCATCACCTATATTGAGGTTTTTGTTAATTGGTGTGGGGGAAGGTTTGATTAGAATGCACTCGAGAGAATGTGAGAATAAAATTGGAAATAGTGACTATAACACAATCATTTCAAGGAATTTTACACTAGAAAAAAGAAGTGAAATGGGGCATCATAGGAGAACAGATTCAAGGAGGGTTTTCTTTTAGTAGAAATAACAGCATGTTTGTATGCTTATCTAGTAGAAAGAGAAGTACTACAATTATACAAAGGAAACAGGAAAAATTGCTGGATTGATTTTCTTGTGTCAGTGAAAGGGCAGAATCTAGTGTACAAATGGAGATGCTCATCAAGTTAGGAGCTTGCACAGTTTAGTCATAATAACAGGAGAGAATACAGAGAGCATGGAGACACAAGTTGGTAGATGTGGTGGGGCAGCTGCTGAAGTTCTTATCTGATTGTTTCACTTTTCTCAGTGAAAGGACACAGGGTCATTAGCTAAGACTGAAAACAGTGGAGGAGGTATTGGAGCTCTGAGGAGAGTGGAGAAAATACCTAATTGTTGCTTAAGGGGATGGGAGAGAGGACTAGGAAATTACAGTATGACTATCCAGCAGCACAGGAACCCACTTGAGGTTACTGATGATTTATTTTAAAATGAGACTGTTTAGTCTGGTTTTATATTTTTCTCCAGTCATATTCAGCTACACAGGTATGCAAATAAAGTAGGTAGAATTCAATTTAACAGGATTGTACTTAAGCAGAATATGTATCTGTGATATTACAATTTATGATAAATGTGTATTTGATCTTTATCCTTATTTCTGGCACAGAGCTCCGAAAACCCTTGTAATTTCCTAAGTGATGAGAGCAACACAGGTACCTTTCATTATGTTAATGATGTGATTTTTGGACTTCACCTAATGATGGGGGCTGGTTGCCAGGGGAACCAACCAGGTGATTAGAAGGTTAGCACTTTCAGCCCCAGTCCACCCCCACCTCTGGTGAGAGGCGGGAAGTTGGAGATGAGTTCAATCACCAACGGCCAATAAACTAATCAGCTACACCTGTGTAATGAAACCTCCATAAAAACCCAAAAGGAAGGAGTTTGGAGAACTTCCAGGTTGCTGAGCAGGTAGCGTGTGGGGAGAGTTACACTCCTGGAGAGGGCCTGGAAGCTCCGCGTCTCTTCCTATGTATCTTGCCCTACACATCTCTTCTATCTGGATGTTCATCTATCTTCTTTTGTTATACACTGGTAAACAGTAAGTAAACAATTTTTCTGAGTTCTGTGAACTGCTCTAGCAAATTAATTGAACCCAAGGAGCGAGTTGTGGGAACCTCAGGCCTATAACTGGTTGGTCAAAAGAATAGGTGACAACCTTGACTTGACTTGTGATTGGTATCTGGAAGCAGGGGGAGAGTCTTTGTTGGACTGAGACCTTTCCCTGTGGGATCTGTCATGATCTCCATGTAGACAATGTCTGAATTGAGTTAAATTGTGGAACAGGCAGCTGGTGTCTCAGAGAATTGCTTGTTTGTGGACAACGCCTCCACATATCTGGTGTCAGAAGTGTTTGTGAGTGTGGTAGTCATGCAAAAATGAAGGAGACACACAGGAGAAACATAGAAGGGGGAAGGTTTGGGATTTTCCCTGCACAGGAGGGTGGAACTGTAGGTTATTCCAGCCCAGCATGCAAAATTGCATTTGTACAATTATCATCACCTGTGGCTTGTTAAAAAAAAAAGCAAATTCTCAGACCCCACCCAAGCCTACTGAATGAGAAACTCTGGAAATTGGGCTCACTATTGTGTGTTGTAACAAAACAAACCCTCCAAGTGATTTTGATACAGACTATAGATGTTGGAATGGATAATCTCTAGGTGCTTTTTCACTCTAAACTTAGTGATTTAGTAATTTAGTACAAATTACCATATCATTCATTAGAATTGTTAAAACCAAGATGAAGTAATGTGAAAAGATTCCTTTAAAAAAAGAAGTAGGGCTTTGAGAGGTTTTTGATTAATGATTCAGTCTTATTAGTTACAGGTCTGTTCAGACTTTTATTTCTTCATAATTCAGCCTTGGTAGTTGTATGTTAATAGGAATGTATCCATTTCTTCTGGGTTATCCTACTATATTAAGAACTGTATATCTAGATCATAGGCTTTTCACAAAGAAATAGATTTTTAATCTCTCCATAAAAGGGATCCTGGCAAAAGCTTGAATTCATGTCAATAGCACATGACAGAAGTGTATGTGAAATTTCGTTTGTTTTTGATAGTACCCAGACAGAATTGTACTTTGCTTTTTTCATTCAGTGATTTTAAAATACCTAAAAATCCTAATAGATTCCTATGTGTCTCTTAAGGGCTTAGACAAATTCTATACTTTATCTTCAGGAGTTTCAGGTAACAGTATATCTACTTTGGGGAAAATATAATTTCTACAAACACTCAACTAGTAATAACAGCTGTAAACAACTAACAGAGCTGCTACCTATAAGTGGAGAGTGTGTTTAGTTTTCTATATTAGGCTGTTATTATACTTGTTTAGTCAAATATAATCATGTTTGATTGAGTTATATTCTTACTGGTTTTTACTGCAGTTTAAAAGACATATAATGCATAAATTTCACAAATGTTTGAATTACACACATCTTACATGGAAAGGCCCTAACTAAATACTTTAAACCTTGATGGGAAATTTCATTGTATTAGACTTAAGATTAATAACTGTATCCTCATTTTAACTAAACGTGATTTCCAGACAAAACATGTTAACTGGTTTCATATTGTATCTGTGAGATAGCACATTAACTCATTTTCATATTTGCATACATTAATTTAATTGTTCCTCATTAGAGAACTGGACTACAAAGGAATTAAAATGCAGGCAAGTAACTCTGACATAGGAAGTGGCCTGGGAAAAGTCTAGACTAGAGGGTAAGTCTAGAAGGTATTTTTGCCAGCAGGCAAAGGACAACACAAGAACACTGAAAGAAAAAGAATAATTAAAAAAGCAAGAAGATTATCTCGGGTATACTTTTGCATAGCATTAATGTTGAGAACATACACATGAAAACAAGTATCTAAGCTTACGTAATAGGTAATCAGAAACTGAATTAGTTAAAATCACATCCTTAGTAACAAGAGGAGGAAAATTTAGAGAAAATATGAGGTAAGTCCATTTACATGAATCTTTATTGCTTTTACATTTTAAATTTTTCTTTATCAGCCCTTTATTTTTTATTGAAGTATAGTCAGTTTACAATGTGTCAGTTTCTGGTGTACAGCATAATGTTTCAGCCATACATACACATACATGTATTTGTTTTCATATTCTTTCTCATTATAGGTTACTACAAGATATTGAATATAGTTCCTTGTGCTATACAGAGGAAACTTGTTTATTTATTTTACATATAGTAGTTAATATTTGCAAATCTCGAACTCCCAATTTATCCCTTCCCATCCCTTTCCCCCTCGGCAACCATAAGTTTGTTTTCTATGTCTATGAGTCTGTTTCTGTTTTGTAGATAAGTTCATTAGGGTCGTCTTTTTTCTTTTTTTCGATTCTTTAAGTGAGGCATGTGTTTGTGTTTTTATTAAATTTGTGAGACTAAAATACTTTAACCACAATCAAGTTAAATGTCTTTCTCTTTCCACTCTAATTTTCTTCCAGCTAGGTGACATTGTAGTGAATAGGCATTTCAGGAATTTGGACAAGGGGAAATTAAGATGGGGGTACATTTAGCTTGGGCTTAGTGAGATTTATTTCAGTCACTACCATGTCTAGGTTCCTGCAAGCTTTCAAGGTATAGGAATGGCTCCCAGAAATCTCCTACTGCCCTGATGCAAGTTAGCAAAAATCGGACATGAAAATGCAGAGCTGAAGATCATATTACAAATTATATATTATGTCAACATTAGAAATATATATAGATAATGTAGAGCAAACAAGATTTGAAATTTGAAATGTGGGAGGCAAAAGCCATTCTATAGAAAATTTTTCCAAATCATATAGCTCCTAAGAAACTTGATACATGTTTTCTGAAATTTTGACAACAAACATAAAAGTTCATATGACATTTACTGATGATAGATGATTGACAGGTGGAAAAGAGAAAAGGGAAGTGAGGAAATAAGATTGGCTGGACCGAGGAGCTGGTGCTTGGAAGTAGCAGGAAATTAGAGAGGTAGAGTAAGGCTGAGCTTAGAGAGATTGTTGATTTCCAAGAAATTGCTTCTATGGGTAAGTGAAAAATACCAGAGAATATGGTGCATAGAAATTAGGTAATGAAAACAATACTGGAATAAGACCAGTTGGGAGGCAGTAAGTAAAAGGGATCAGAAAAGAAACTGATGTGATGGAAGTCATTTAGGTAGTAGTATGGCACTATTAACAGAAATGGGAGAGTAGGAAAAAGACCAGTTCAGGGCTGAATAGAATTAATTATGGAGATTCTTTAGTTTAATCATGAGTTTAAATCTTGAGTTTGATCATGAGGCATGAAGATAGTCGGGTTTGTTTTTTTTTTAACAAAACTGATAGGCACTTCATGTGGCAGAATTGATAGTTACAATTCAGAATAATTTGAAGTTGGCAGCACAAAGCATTAAGTAGAAATGAGATGCAATTTAAAATGAGTCTCAAAAAATTAGAGGGTAGGAAACTCTTGGAGGTGATGCATATGTTTATGGCATAGATTGTGGTCATGGTTTCATGTATGTATACTTATCTCCAAACTCATCAAGTTGTATGCATTAAATATGTACAGCTTTCTGTATGCCAGTCATACTTCAATGAAGGTACTTTAAAATTAGAATCTCAGAAAATTTCGGAGAGTAAAATTCCTAGAGGCAAAATTGTGGAGAGGGAGATGGGACTGAGAAGAAGGGAATTTTCTTGTGGCAGAATTTTATTTACTTTCCTCTGTATTTTGATTTTTTAACAATTACAAAATTGAAGCATCAGCACTTTAGAGGGAAAAAAAGGCATATCACATCATGATTTTTGTTCAAAAATAAAACCGTATTTGTTGGAATATCTCTTAGAAAATTGTCTTTCACTGAAAGTTGTGAAGTTGTGTATGTAGAAGTTTGACTTTTACCTTAAATTTGTGAGGAATGCCTGGCACATACTAGGTATTCAATCTGCATAACAATTTATTGAGTTAAATAATGGATTGAATTAATACTTAAAAATTCATAATGACCTTACTGATCTGGCTGTCTCTCAACCAGTATAAGAGAATTGTACATATTTCCTTAAAATTAGGAATATAGTAAAAGATTTTCTTTTGTGAAATATGGGTTTAGTGAGATTTATTTCAGTCACTACCATGTCTAGGTTATTGCAAGCTTTACAACTAGTATATAGTGATCCTAACAGATTAACGTTTAAAATATAATGCATTTTATGGGCTAGATTTTGTACACTGCCCCCCTCCAAATTTGAATCTTGAAGGCCTA